AATAAAATAAAAATAGGAATATACAGAGAGAAAGAGATTAAAAAAAAAATGCTAAAGGCTATTTAAAAGAACACCGCACTCGTTAACACTAAGCTTCAAGTTTGAAGAAGTTTGGTCTTCTTTCCCCTAATGATAAGTAACGTGGACTTTCGAAAATATGAGGAAAAATCACGAGAGATCGCGGCGCGAGGTCGAACTTCTCGCGGTAAGTTTGATCGAATCGTTACGGAAATTCAGGAAACTTTCCGCAACACGGCGGAGCGGGGCGAGTTAACGCGATTCTTCGGCTGCTCTATTTTCAGAGAAATTATACGATCTTCTTCCCTCCGTCCTTCTGGGAGACCTCGGGCGGCGATGCAGGTGCGAGTCTTACACACGCGGGGTGAAGAGGCGAGGCGCGTGTTATACACGCGCGCCTCAGCGCGGTCTCGCAATAGATCCACCTAACGTATATACGCTACGTTTGCCTTCTAACGTTGCCTCTGGGACAGTCAACACCTGACACTTCCACGTTACCTATACGTATATACGAATGTTTAATGCGCCGCCGGTAATTATTATGAAGTAAATTAGCCGGTGGCGCGTGCTGTACTAGATCGCTCCCCCTCCCCGTCCCTCTCTTATCCACGCGTTCTCATTAATGTTGCAACTCGCCCGTCCTGTAATTATCCTCTAACCCGCGATTAACGGTCAAGAGATCGATTACCTTTGCCTCGCGATCGTATTCCGTGTCCTTTTAACCTTCGCAATCGTTTTTCCACGTGCACGTTGTACTGCCCGATCGCGTTTATTTGGATAACGTTGAAAAGGAGTCTAAGAGAGAGAATCGCAAAGAATATAATGCAAAAAGTCCCCTCTATAGCTTCTTTTCAGACCGCGCGTGTTAAATTTAATCTGCAATGACATGCTCTTCGTTTCCTGTTTCTTGCTTTCTATTATTTTTGATTTTTTTTCCTTGCCTCTTATATCCTGCTTGTCTATGTTTTATATCATCAGAGATAAAAGTTGACAAACTTCTGAAGAGACAAGAAACACGCGATTACAAAATGCAATAGTCGCGCGAAGGGGAGAAAACAATAAATAATAGGAAGCAAAAAAATATAGTAGCACGTTACAGATCAAGCTTAAGCAGTCGGTTGAATTTTTCTATCAGTCATCATTAATGTCAATCGAATGGGCGATCTTGAATGGGAATCATGCTAAACGCAATCGTGAAGATCGCGATGATGCGAGCGACTTCGTTGAACCCACACGTTGTACACCTGCACGTCGCTCGCGCAACAATGTCATAGACCCGTACAATTCAACTCCCGCGGTGGTAGGGCACGCACGGTCGCGGGTTAAATAACGTCATTTAGTATCGTAATATCTAATTTACTGCGGAAGGGAGCGACGAGTCGCGGGTGGACACGGGGAGGAAAAGGGCGAGGCGAAGGACCGGGGGCCACGTGGTCGTGATCCCACGGCGTCGCAATTACAGGCGCCTTCGAAACAATCGTATGTCCCTCTCAAGCGAGTTCAGCGTGCGCTGCGAGAGAAATTAAACGCACGTTCGAATAACATATCGCTTCCGTCCTGTAGGCATATAAAATCTTTTTGTACTCGTAAAGACGAGAAAAACGCGCGATTTATCCCTTCGAGAAGACATCCCAAGATCTTTCCGCTGTCTTTAAACGTCTAATCGAGTCGTATAGACGAAAAGATGTTTGCATCTTTTTGATTTAGAGAAAGACTTTATGAAATGTAATCCTCTTGACTTGTATGGGAGAGATCGATCGGGAACATTACTGTTACGAGCGCGCTTCTTGTCGTCCGGAATGTACTGATCGTTGTTACCATTATGTGGCTGGATTTGTACCGATAACGGGCCGCATTTCCGCGCCTAATCCTTACCCGCGATGATCGGACCTCGTGCGAACCGGAACACCTGTCGGCGACCATCAGGTAACGTGACATCACGTCACGTGATGAGCCGGCGAACTGGCGAACGCATCCCCGAACCCGCCCCCGACGACCCCGACGGTAATCGGTCTAATCGACGTCCCTCGGAGGCTCACGACGCGACGTACGCGTGTAAATGTCCTTTGTATGTACTATACATTAAGGATTTGTAAGTGCAGACTATATTTTTCATTTCGCGTAGATTATTTGCCGCTGCACTCTTCTCCTTGGGACTTAATATTATGCATCTTGAAAAGCTGTATGAGGGTGCAAGAGCAGTGTCCTATTTACTTTAATGCTTTTACATTGATATTTCGTGTCAAATGCTCGCGATAATATTGCCCAAACTTATTATTTACACGAAATATCACGTGGTAAACATCCCGTACCAACACGCTGAAGAGTTTACAGACACTTTCGCACGCAAAAATGCGCTCCGTTTTCTCGCACGAAACGGAAGAAGGCCTGCACCTCTCACGCAGCGTAAACGCGCCGTATACACGATCATCGTCGTACACCTCAGGAACAGGACAGGGCGGTATCCAAGGTGGTCGCGTGTCTGGCCCCTTAGTCTCATTCCGCCTGCACCCCCTCGTCCCAGTGCACCTAACGGAGGGAGCACGGATTCTCCTTTCACCCTCGCACGAAGTCACGTATCGTGACGCCCGTTGTTTCACAACTTGGGCAAAGTTATCTCATCAAGTCGTCACGAGGACGCTTCCCTTCCCTTCTTCTTTCCCTCTTTGGCCCTCCCTCTCTTTCTCCAAGTCCTGATTAAACTTTTCTTACTTTTGCGGCTTCGCCGGGTATTTATAATCTCGCGCTCGTTCCGCGCCCACTCAGAACCGCAGAATCGTTATCAGGACTTAACTAATTAGCGGTGTTTCGGCGGAAAAATTCATCAAAGTATCCACGCGGTACGGTACGATTTGCTTAATTATAATTCGGTGTTTAATTTTCGAAAAGTTACTTTATAGTTTGATTGATCCGTGAAAAGATTATCTATTTATTTATATTATATAAGTGCCTGTTTAAACGCTCGAGATTATAAAATAAGTGATTAAGAGTATTTAAATGTAAGAACATATAGAAAATAATTACGATAAAAAAATATTTGTCTCTTTTGTTTTTTTTTTTTCGTATTGTTCTTCGATTAATTGCAAATATTCAATCAGGATATATCAGTATTAAATTAATGTAAAGATTCGAGCGCAAGTATAGACTTTAATGCCCGCGTTTAAAGAAAGAAACGACTTATAGGTCGGTTTTTATTAAAAAATTGTTTTAATTAAGTAATAATCTAAAATGCTAATACAGCTCCGTGATTGGCTTACTACGTCTTAAGATTGTACTTAAAGTTGTCTTAAATGTGAGAGAATGAATTCTGGCCTTCGGAGAATTCGGAATTTAAATAGAAGCCGGACCTTGTGTCATTTCAAAAGAAACATTGTTCAGATAGGAGCATGTAATTAAGTGTGGATTCATAGATCGTGGCTGAGAAGAGGTAGTTGGCGAGCGGAAAAGAGATCGCCGGTTTTTCGACCGAACGACGTGCTTCAAGCAACGGTTGCACCTACGAAACGAGCACCGGGGGTCTTTTTCATTTAGACTATTTGCCCCCGTTGGAGCACGGCAGGTCATCCACAGCCCTTTGGTTCCCAGGCCGTCGGCAAATTGCGGCTTACCGCGCCGGCACCGTTATTCTTATCCTTCCGCGCACTCGTTCAGGTAATTCTTGGCAGGCCCGGGCTACGTTCTTATCGGGAACGGCGCGAAACAACAAACGGAATCGCTCACCCCAGCGCCTCGTCGTTCCTTCGTCGAGGAAAAAGTGGAGCGTGGTGCCTGCCAAGTCCGATTCGCCGCGAGTATCACCTTTTCTCCCGATTCACCTGTGTTCCGCCCGCGTAATCTTATTTTTATTGCAAACTGTTTCTCGAGCCACAAAACAGGGAGGGAATTTTTTCTTAGAGTCTACTATATGATAGCCGTGGAACGACATTGTGTTTCAAAGAATTTTATTTGTAAATCTCTCATTCACCGATAAAACTGCAATAAGTTTGGTTAATTTTATTAAAGTGCATGGTAAAAATTTTTTAATATTGTACCGCTACTATCATATTTTCAAGAGTAAGTTTTAAGATAAAATTTGAAACGAACTTTTCGAATAATCTGATATAATTATGGCTGTTATTGCAAGGGAAGTTGAAGGGTACAATTTGTAAATTTTCTTTTTAATAATACAAGTGTTAATTGTACAATAGGTTTTAATAATTCGATTACAATCAACAATCGCAGAATGGACATAAGTCAATTTTGTCTAGACAAATCAGAAGCGGAAAATTAGTTTTACTTACTTATATTTTCTTCTCCATTTTTATTTCACGCGATAACAATTAGTATATTGATTTATGATGATAAAATGCGAGGATTTCTTTCACATTTTTATCTATCGATTTTCGATTTTCCACAAGAAAGAGATCCGAGCGGTAATATATTAACATACGCGGATTAACGGGATTCGCATGAATGGATTTTTTTGTGAATCTTTTTATGAAATTCCAAAGTGGGGAAAGAAAATGGGGAAAACATGGGGGAGGAAAAATTGTGATGTTATTAAAGTAAAAACAGTGATAACGTGTATAATTTTATAATTATCGAATTTATCTTATCGGCAAGTGTTTATATTGTATACGTATTCGCGAATGGCGATTTGTAATTTGTACACAGCATGAGTAGGTATCTATAGCGTCCAGTTGAGAAAGCTGAGGAATATACCGATAACATGCAAAAGCACTTCCGCGTGCAGTGTAGTCACGTCCACCGACTGCCCGCTTATTAATATTTCACGTATGCACTCCCGGTAACCTACGCCAGGTCGGCTGCTCCTCCTACTTTTTTCTCTACACACCTATTTCCGCCCCCTGACCGTAGCACCTTCTCGTGGTGTTATTTCGATTGCGAATCGATACAGGGACCGCGAGTCCTAGCAAGGAAGCTTTATTAAACTCGTAGTTTTATTAAAATCTTTCCATATTAACATCACACACGATGAGGAACCTGAATATAAAGGTCGCTTTCAATTGGAAATTTCAACATGCGTGGTAAGCAGTAAATTATTAAATGTACAATGTATATACATTTATGATGAATTATATTGTATTATGCAGTATTAATCATAATATATTGTATTGTGTTATATTATTGTATTATAACATTATTATTATTATAGTATATGTATGCGTTACAATTCGATAAGAATGTGTGTTTTTCACGTGAGATAAGGCGAGTTTTTCAATTCATTGATTGATCAATCGCATTATACATACGTAAATGCAGCTTTTACGGAGCAAAGTTGTATTTGTGCATAATGCTGTTAATTATAATCGATGAATTAAAAACTCGCCTATGTACGAACGATTCTTGAAAAGAGTTTTCTCTTCTGAAACTTCAGAATGCTCAGTTTCAGACACATACATGATCTCAATGACATTTTCCACTAACCTTTCGGATGTAGATTAAATTGACAATGAAATGAATGCTAGACAAATAGAGAAAAAAGTCAATGCGATAGTCGATGAAATTCTTGACGAAGATCAGGAAAACGATTTCGATGCAACACGAGCCGAAACTTGTCCAGGAGATTGCGAGAAATTAGATGATACGTCTAAGGAAGTAAGTTACGCGTAAAGAATTTTTTTTATTCGTCTAATAGTACAATTAATTTAATCCCTCATTTTTAAAGTAAACGATTTTAAAACTTTATATAAAAAATTATGTCAAAAATTGTATTACAAGCACAGACTTTTACATATAAGAATAAGTTGTAGAAATCTGTGATCACAAGTCAAATTTATGTATTTTTTTTTTATATATCGCAGTAAAATATTGTATGCTGTCAAATATGTAAGTTATTCGAGAATATTATATATTCGTGAGATAGCTAAATGTGCTCAACGTAACAATTTTGACGTTAAATTTCTATCACATTAATCTGTTACATTCGATTACAACAAAGGGGACTGAAGACTCAAGAGACAGAAAATTTCTTTCGCCACAAATACCCCGGCAATGCAAATGCGGTGTGGAGACTTCGTCGAGGTTCTCGCTTCGCGTAATGGAAGCAATGCGCTCGCTGCAGCGCGACGTGGACCAGCCGTCCACGTCCAGCGCCGAGGAGATCGCCGACTACATCCGGTCGCATTATCGCTACGATGGCGACCTTTATGCTCAGGTGCGGACCGCGCTGAGACAGATCTGTTCTCAAGGGTTAGTTCCCGGCGTCGCTTCGTCGAAGGTCAGGCAGATCGAGTGAAACGCGTAATACCTCGCCCATAAAATTTTAATGAACCAATGTTTCATTCAAACACACACGCATACTGTTATATTATGCTTTATAACGTACACTGTTTTTGAAATAATTGTATGTTATACAGTTTAATAAACGATATTCTTTCTCTCGGTTATGGAAAGACATCATCGTGTTTTCTTCAAAGCAATATCTTTTATTGCGCGATTTATCTTGTTACTAGAGGCTGTTCACCTATCGACCGATATTTCGGTGCTAATTGTGTATTGCACTTGTACGGTGCTATATAATATATGCAATTCTATTGTTTGAAAGATACCATTATAGAACTACAATAGAAAATGACAGATACTCACTTGACCCGCGAAACTGCGGCCAAAATGCCAAAGAGTCTCCATCATATTAAATATACATAATAAAATATAGACAAACGCTCTAGATTTGATGTTTTTTCTTCTTTTTTTTTGTTTGATATTTTAATAAATAGTATACGCTTCCTCAGTTTTAGAAATAATAGCTTGTTAATAAATTGATAATATAGATATTTTTTTGCCACTCTCAATTTCTTAAAAATATTTTTCACTGTTTACTGTAAATTAATAACAATTACAATATGGTAATAGATTTGTCATGGAATTATTGAGCAACGAGTATCACTTGATTGGCCCCGTTGTTAGACCAATAAAGCGGAATCACTGTTCCTTGGATTGCAAATGTCGCACCATGGACAATGCATTGAGAAGACGGAGAAGCGTTGATGATCAGAGAAATGGTGTATGTGGTTGCGCACGATTTCCCAAAAGTCCTCGTCAAGATCTAAGATCGCCACGCGAGGAATCTCGTAGGACTTTTATTGCCGATCAGTTTGAGGATTTGGAACCAATGTTTCATTCAACTAAAATATCAGCCGACGAAAAGGATGATACAGATCGTCGCGTCAGGGAGTTTGATGCCGGTGTTTCGGATATCCGAAATTATCGACGACGAGATGATATCGAAATGGAGCAACGTGGCGATTACGTGGAACCGATCCCCGGACCTTCCAGAAAAGTCTCGAGAATTCCTTCGCCAGATCCAGCTAGAAATGCGAAAAAGGTGCGAGTGGAAGGTGAAAGAGTGCAACGCACGAATGAGAAAGAAGAAGAGGATATGGACTGCACTTGTGATGCCGAAGCTGTCACTCGAGATGAACGTTCGAGGATCCGACCTGCTGATCGTCCTCGCGTTGTCAGAAACGGACGTCGTCGCCTTGACGCTGAGGAAGATGAAGAAGATGACGCCGAGGAAGATGAAGACAAAGAGGAAGGAATCGAAGTTGAAGAGGAGGATCAAGATAGAAGAGGAGGAAGAGGACCAAGAGAAAGAGAAGAGGAGGAAGAGGATGAAGAGGACCAAGGGGACAGGGTAGAAGAAGAGGACGAAGACATAGAGGATAGTGTATACGATGAATTGAGGGCGCGAGTTCCCCGCAGAAGAACTGCGGCACGCGAACGAGAGCTGAGAAGGTGGATCCGGCGGTGTCGTGAAGAATGCGAACGACGGAGAGGGCGATAACGCGAATTGAAAATTCAGGACTGTACAAATACATTTCAGCAGCTTGAAAAAACATGAATGAATCACTACTTCTTTACCTTGACAATTATTACTTCCATAAGTTACTGCATGAAAATAAAATTAATATAAATTCAAAATAAAATTAATATAAATTCTTGATTCTAATTGTACAAATTTTTAAACATGAAATTTGTAGTAAGTCTTGTGTACATTTTTTTGCTTAATATAAAAATTTTTTGTGTTCAACACAAAGTTTGTTGCATTTATAAGTAAAATATGTCTGTTTGAATTTTTAATTAAAATTAATAAAAATATAAAAATATAATCCCTTTTCTATTACCGGTTTATTATTTACATTTTTATTACTATTTATTTATATTTAATAAATAATTTAAAGTATGGAATTAGAAATTTGCATCGTAAATATCACGAACCATGTCATTACATGACCTTTTCAATAATGATTGAATTTATTATGATCAAGTCAGTCAATCTCATACAGAGAGAGAATACTCAGTATCGCTGGTCGCAATACTTGACGGATCTTCATTATCCTTTTTCACGTTTCTTGATAGAACTCCTATCTTTCGTGAAACACGCAGCATGTTCCTTCGTAAATCGGTCGGGATTAACAATCCAGATTGCAAACCGTATATGAGCGCTTCCCGTATGTAGAATTTTGCACGTCTTCGTTCTGAGGAAAGAAATCAAACGGTGACAATCAATTTATGTTTTATTTCTTTCTATATATACTTATCTCTTCTTTTCTACCTCTTGAAAATTCTGGAAAATTTCATTTTATAAGCAGAACACGATAATGTTATTTTAACGTTAAAAGAAATTGTTTAACGTCATTTTGATATGACCTCTATGTTCTGTTTGAGTACTTTTCGAATTTATGTCTTTCTTTAATACCGAATTAGATTCGATTACTGAACATTAAAATGAGTTTTTATGTATAATACCATCGCGGACAGCTCTCGTGTAATCGGCGACACATTCATTCGACGAGCTTCTAGATGCTGTTTTAAGGATATTTTTATTTGTGCGTGATCGAGATTGCTCGCCATCGTCACTGGAAATTTCTTCGTTGAGATTCGTATGAATTGTCGCTAAATCAGATTTACGAATATCTTTCTTTCGCTCGTGTTGCTTATTGAATTTTTTACAAGCGCAGCTTCGTTGTCTCCCCTTTATTAGGCTCTGATTGGCGCATTTGCTCAGATATTTGTACACCAAGTTGAACACTGTCGCTTTTTCAACGTCTTGTCGAGGAAAATATTCCTTATCATAATGTCGTGCCGAGACAGGTGACCTATAATTAGGGGAATAACGTAGAGATTAGAATAAATTTTAAATTAATTATTGTTGTACAACTATATGTACGTCATTTTATTTTACAGTTGCTTAATTAATGCCGTGGCATAATTATTGCACGATCGGTTATCTAGTGAAAGTCTTGTAGGAAAGAAACGAATAAACTTTTTGATCAATCTAATATTTTCGTGTCAACAACTGATTCATGTAGCTGACCTGTATGCACGATCAAACGCAGCGCGATGTCGGCGTGTACTTTTTGGATGAAAACGTTCCCGATCTCTGGCCATGATACATTTAAGTTTAATACGCGACAGTCATAAATTAGAAATCAGCTTGCACGTAATAATTGCAGAAGAAAGACCAAAATTTTATAGTTGCATGAAATAGTCGTTTAAGTCGTGGAATAGTATTTTGTTTTATCTCTGTCCTGTATTCACTTTATATTTATATACAAATATATGAGGACATGGCGAGAAAGGAAGAAAAAAAAATAAAAGTGCAGGGAATAATTATGAAGAATCAGAAGAATATTCATTTTTGTTTGTTTTTATTTTATATTTTGTGTCATGGTCAGTAGAAGAGAAATTTTCAACCGCGCATCAATTAGAGAAAATTACTGCAGCTAGTAAAACAGAAATCACTCTTATCGTCTGCTGGTTAAAAAAAATGTGCTTTCAATTGAAAGACAATTCTTTTCGAAGCGCTGCAGTCGTATTAGTTTACATCATGGTTGCCTTAGGATCGTCTGTAACTGTCAACGCCGATCAATTAGCGGCATAATGTCTAATAAAGTGAGTATTTTAACAGTTTTTAACATATCAGTCCGATTGCCGTGTCGCGTATTACATTCTAGATGTAGAAACGTACATCTGCGAATTGCATTCACTTTTGTTCGTATTAATTGACGCGTGAATTTATCAAGGCTCTGCTTTTCTTATATCAACCTCGAAATTATTGACATTTTTCGCGAAGCTATGTAAAGATAATGATAATAGACATAATAGAGAATGAGGAAGTATTGATTCCATGTAATTTATTGCCATTATAAAAGAGATGTTTTATGTGTGCGCGCATTCTTTATATTAATTACAGATGACATAGGCAGGATTTAATCTAATCACGTTTAATTTATAAGAATTGACTCTAGAAAGTCTAATATTGCTTGTTAGAATGCAGTTTGTTGTACACTCTAAGAATTTGAAAGTAACATACACACATAATAATGCCTAAAATAAAAATTTCTTATTTTAAAACGTTGCTTTAATTCATTTTAAAGTATCAGTAAAATATTAGATGTTTTTTGCAGTTGTTGGAATATTTGTGTGTATGTGTGATTTACAAGCATATCTAACTAGATAGTATAAAAATTGTAAACTTATATATCACTAATAATGAGTATAAAGCACTCTCTGTATTCATGATGCTAGGAACTTGATCTGAAACATGTATAGGCAATCAACTTGATATTTTTCTGTAAAACTACATGTTGATTGGTTTTACATTTCTATATACAAGAACTCGGATCGAGTTGTAGCACTATGAATACAGGGCTTAAAATTAAGCAGCATGTTTCTGACTGTGGATATTTTGTTTGACAATATTTAATTGTATTAATTTATTTTTAATTTGAAATGTCTTCTACCTTTGTTCTCTATTTGTGAATAAATTATCTTCCAAGTAAAGAGTTGGTTTGTAAATAATAATTGTTAATTTTGATGTAAGAGAAATGTGCTAACAATTAATTAACAGCAATAATTAAACTATTAAATATATGATATTATTATAAAATAATAAATTATATTTTGTTAGTCAAGTCAATACTATTTATTTTAATTTAAATTTTACTATGTATGTAAAATTTCTATTTTGCTCCTGTAATAATTTATTTTTCTCTAGGGAGCAACTAAAAAAATTGGACCTAAAGATGAAGTCAAGACACATGTCCGATCAAAACCAAAAACGTCATCCAGTCATGAAAGCAATCCGGATACATCGAAAAAATCAGATCCTAATTTTCCAAGGAAATCTCAAACTATTGAGCACAGAGGAGAAGGAGATAGAGGGTCCAAATCGTTGCAGAATTCCTTGACTAGAACACAATCGATTAGAAATACTATGAAGCCATCCACTGGATCTTCTCAAGTTAAGACTGTCAAACAAGTATCCTCAACATCGAAATCTAGTCCAGTTAATACTTCATCTAGTCATTCATTAATGAAGAAAACTACAACTTCTAAGATAAGACCCGAAAATGTTACAAAATCAAGCCATGATAATACAGTCAAAAAAAGGAAATCCAGAGAAGAAGTGGGATATTCAGAGAAGAGAGGTCAGAGTAGGATATATTTGCCAAGGTCGACTGTAGACAAACTCAACATTAAATCTAACGAAAAAATTGCAATTCGAACGTCAAGGGATAAAGAAAAGTCACAAGATTTCTCTGCATCCAATCAAACTAAGCTACAAATGTCGTCCAGAGATCGCAGAAAATCTAGAACGCTAAGTCCAAGTGAGATAAGAATGTTGCATAGTGCTGTAAGAAGACCGGATGTCATTGAAAAAGAGCAGAAGAAAAATGTTTTAACCGACAGTTGTTCTGATATACAAGCAGACTCGAATGAGGCAGACTACAATTATGAAGATGATTTTGAGGTAAGAAAAAGAGGAAAGACTTAAATGAAGGTACATATGTATTATAATTAAATTACTTTGTATTGTCTTTCAGGATTATGAGTCGGACTTTCAAGAATGCACTGATAGCGATACTCCCTCGATTAGCGAAAAATCAGATAGCACTGGAAGCAGTTCCCATTTAGAACCAATCGAATTGCGCCTTCGAGAGAAGGTATTATCAGTCGCTAAATATTGAATATTATAATAAATATTCTATATGAATATCATATTTATATCTTATTTGTATCTTATTCTTATTCTCTACGTCGAAACGCATAATTTTATGAAATTGATTTTTGTAGAGAAGCACGGAACATACAAAGGTCGAAGAAGAACATATGTTTGATTCGGGACATTACGATCTCGCAGAAGCGAGAAAACGGGCAGCACGAGAATCTATGCTTTTAACGCAATCCAATGCACCGCCGTTACCTGAGTTAAGGGAGTCAGTTGGTAAAACGTTTAGGTTTGTGATAACTAAGATCAAATATCAAGATGAATAGGTGGATACTTGTAAACTTATTATTGAACCTGCACGTTTTTTGGCATGTGTGATTATGATGTTTTTATTTAGATGCTTTTCTCTAAAATGTTTTATTTTAAAAAGAATAAAGTAAAATACATGAATAATTTAACGTGTTCATATTTATTTGGAGCAGTGACGATAGACCGGCGGAAAATAAATCTTTGCCGTCGTCTACTGATGAAGGCTTCGAAGATAGCCGTTCTGGGGACTTTACTAGATCTCCGCCGCTGTCGCAAGTACCATTTATTGATTTTCGTAAACCAAAAGAGAATCGCCGTGAAGAGGTAATTTACTTTTATACAAGAACATATCACAGTATTCAATATTGTATTCAATATTATATATCTAAATTGTCTTATCTTTCGTAGAACTTGCGAAAACCTCGAAGTAGAGGCGAAGAATTGTTAGAAATGATAAAGCTGGACTTTATGGAATGGTCATTATTAGAATGCAATCCTATACCCTATGATGAATTTATAAGAAATTATGGGAAATTAAATACGCAACAAGTATGTTATTATACTACATTATAATAATTATATCATGATCGATTGAGCATTGTATACTGTTTTCTACAGGTGTTTACCCAAACCGGCGATGACAATATTGACATTGAGATACAAACAGATGAAGTGCCTTGTAAGAACAAGTGGACGCAGTTTCCTGTAACTTGTAGAAAAGAATTACGTGATCAACGAGATATAAATTTATTTAAAATGGTAATATTTTTAAAATGGTATTATTGGTTTATATACATTGTTGTCTATAGAATATATATTGATAAATATAATTCTGAACGTTCTATAAAAATTTGCAGGAGCAAGTAGGCGTTGGAAATGATTTGAACGAAATGGATGATATAAATCTTTTGTCACGACCATCGTACGATATATTGCGATTAAACGATTTTCTTAATTGTGCGGGTGCAGTTGTATTGTCGTTATTAGAAGAGAAGGAACATGGTGGCACCGTTTTTCAAAATGATGTGGGCGATTTATCGTTCAGTGATGGTTTTGTAAAGCTCTCTGTAGATACAGTAGCATTCTTAGCTACCAGATCAGTTAAGATTATACATTATTCGAATGTTTTAAATAAAGTTCTACTCACTATTCATGCCCCTGTAGAAGAGGTACGTGATTGTTATACTATTTAATTACTTATATAACAAGTTAATTAATTCAAAATAAACCGTAAGTAATTTATTATGTATTGAACAGGAGTTAGAAACTATAAGTAAACAGGATTACATCACTGATTGTTGCATCGGATGCGTTTGGAATATTTCCGAACCTTCGATGCCGAAGAAATTATTCTACTCGCAATGCCCTATTACGGCTTGTTGCTTTCACTTAACGAATTGCAACACGGTATTTGCCGGACTCGAGGATGGGTATGTAACTTGAGTTTTCGTTAAAGTTCTCTTTTATAGTTTTTGTAATAATTTAAAAATATGAAACTAGGTCATTGAGTCTCTGGGACCTTAACGAGGATGAGATGTGGCATCAGAAGATTACGGATAAAGCTAACGAATTAGATTGGGTGATCAGAACACCTACTTACACGACAACGGCAGAGTTAGATGCACATACATCGCAAGTTGTTGCGATACGCGTACTATCTAAGATCGAAACTACTTGTGCTAAAGAAAGAAGCAACAAATTTGTTCCTATTCAGGTTGTCATTATATTACAATATTGACATGCATCTGTTAAAATTTATTCTTACTAATCCACGCTTATATTTTAAAGATATGTAGTTTAGACGAAGATGGTTGCCTTATAATATGGAGTATTGTGCATAACATGGGTATAAATATCGATGATTTAGGGCTCTCTCATTGGGGTAACATAAGACTCATAAAGAATCAGAAAACATTTTTAACGAAAAAAGACTCAGAAATGTAAATAAAATAGATTTGAAAATTGTTTTTTGGAAAGTTTAATATATGTCTGAGATTATTCTAACTGTTCGATTTTCTTTTAGAATGAATATGTTTGTCGATATGCATGTAGATAGTGCAAACACAAATAACATTTATATTGCGACTAACAGTACTCACGTCTTGCATGCTACTTATATTGGTAATAGAACTAATCCATTAACATACAAACCAACTGAGATAAGTGAGTGGAAATAATATTATTATTTCGATGTATGTATTGAATGTGTATTGCAACATAAAACTTATTTTTAATTAAATATTACAGGTAAATGCGGTACTTCAACTTGCATTGACGTTTGTCCTTTCGGTCAATCCTTTTTCTGGGTAAGATTCTTTTCGTTGTTTATTTAAAAAAATTTATTTTTATCTTAATTTAATTTTTATATTCATCAGGTTGGCTGTAACGACGGAACAATTCGACTTCATTACTCAAATGTAGAAAAACCGATCGTACAATTGAAGAACGAACAGTATTCGGATGAGATTAAAGCATTGCAATGGTCAAAAACAAAACCATTGACTGTATACACTCTGGATAATAATTCTCGGTGAGTACGCTTCTCATGAAATGAATAAAATTCTAAATGAAATAAGATGGTTCAGTTACAAAATTTATAAATTTAATAGGATTCACGTATGGGATTTGAGTAAGAATGATATCTGCCCTATACATATATTACCTATGGAAAAGTGGGGTAAGATAAGCAGCATGCAGCTGTCCCCTTGCATATTAGATCAAGATATGATGAATCAGTATCTGGTAAGTTTAAGAAGTTAATATCTTAATGCTCAAAAGAGATTTTTCTGTTATTTAAAAAAAAAAATTTTTTTTTAGGCTATTGGTATGGAATCTGGTAACATAGAAATACATAAACTAAAGAAAGATTTCTATTATTCAAAGAAAGAAGAATTTTTACGAGAACTGGACACATTTTTACGATACGTTTCAGTATCATAAACAAAAATAGATATATCAACAAAGTGAGAATAGGCATTATTAATTTCTTCAGAATTACTATTGTTATTTCCAAGAATTGGATGTAGAAAGATTCACAGATTTTATACTTCCAGTGTATATGCACACTTGCAATTATTGCAATAGATAATTAAGATACTAGTCATAGAAAGTAATACTTAAACACAAGTTGAAATTTGTGCTCTTAACGACGGATATACAATTTTACATTATCCCGAAATTGTAATTTATAAGATTTTCAAGGTAATATTTTATAGTAATTGTCTTTGATAACTTTGAATAATATTGAATTTTTCCAATGTGCAATCAAGTATATATTTAAATTGTTATAATTTTATATATCTTATTATATATAAAATTAATGAGTTTTTTGTGCACTTATTTGTATCTTTCTTTTCTATAATATACAAATCACAATATTCCGTCCAGGGAAAAGTACGAATAGATATAGAAAAAAATAGTATTCATAACATATTTATATATACATTTATATAGTGTACCGTATAAAATATATATAAATAAGGACAAATGATAAGATTATACTATTGAAATATACATAGAATTTTATACATAGCATAGCCGATTTTATATCGAGCTTTTTGATGTAGGTGATCCATTATTGATAATGTAATTGAAATGATATGATTTTATTTAAAAAATAAATGCAGAAAAATTTTTTTATAAAAAAACTGATTTGTTTGACTATAATCATTCAACATCGATCATTCTACTTTAATATGTTTCATATAATTGTTCAACTACTTTAATAATAACTTTTGAGATCCGTTAAACAATTATTATTAAGCACTCTTTATTACTATTAAACAATTATTTTTGTTATTGAGCTTGGATAATTTTCAAATTATTTTTCTACATAATCATTCACAATTTAAATAACAATTATACAAATAAAAGAAATGAAATATCCTAGTAAAAGAAATAAAATTATTAATAAAAAAGAAAATTATTGAGGTGTGAGAGTACACATGTATATAAATTTTGATAATACGTACGTATATGTATGTATATTATATGTATATATACACACATATGTATATAGTTATATGTAAATAATATATTTGTATGCATATATATGTATAATATCATATATGTATATGTATATACATAATATAAATGTATACAAAGGAATAGAAATATATACTGTATATGAATATATTCTATAACAAATGTTTTAAAAAATTATTCGTGTAAATTAATCATAATAATTTAGACAAATATGTAAAACATATATATAAATTGTTATAAATCGAAAATATAAATTTCTTAAGAATAAGAATTTTTATATTTGTAATTGCTGTTTAATTATTTTTCGATATATGGCACTGTATTATTGAAAATTATGCAAACTTAATTAACTATTAATTATTTAATTTTGCAATTTTTAAATTTGATTTTCTTGAAAAAAAAAACTGCTTGAAAATAATTTATCTTTTCATGTGAAAATTATATTACGTCACCAATAATGAACTACCCTATTTATATAGTATTGTATAGAGAGCATAATCCGTCTATCCATCGTCAGCAGTTCGATAATAATCGGATTAGAACAATCATTATAATCATGTATAGAAAAAGAATCTCTGAACGAGAAATACATGTACTAGCGGCACTGCAAATTTCTTGCTTTATAAACTCTTCTACAATTTGATCGTAATTGCGACCCTTTAATGTCTGATGACCGTATAACTGTAAGTAGCGTGTGCCATCCTGCAACAACAAAATTTACATTTATTATTACACTCAAATGCAATCATATTTATTTACTATATACGTTAAAGTTATATTTTACTATTGAAAATAAAAAAACATCGTAATAATTTTTTATATGCGAATGACACGTGTAAAAAAAATACTTTCGTGTAGTCCCAATTCGAGCAAAATTTACCAGTATTTGGTTTTCATTCAACAGACACGTTTCAGGAGATTTTTGCAAAGAAAAATGTTGAAAGGCAATGAAGCTCCTGAAATATGCGTTACTAATATAATGTGCGACTATTGTGCTTGGATCAGTAAGATCTTGGCCAAAATCAAGGCCAGAGAGACTCAGATTAAGAAAAAGAAGAAAAAGGGAGTAGATCCGGTTGTAGTTGTTCATGGAGGTGCTGGGAGAATACCCCAATACGCACGGAAATTTATGCTTGACGAGGTTAAATTATTCGCTATTTACATTAAGATTCTAGAAAAACAATTTTGCATAGCTCAAAAAAGTGTACGATACAATCTACATTACTTATTATTATTTTATTAAGTGACATTTTTAAAATACTTTGAGATTACGTTGTTTGAGAAAATTAGGAAAAGAAAATTTTTTGTAGAAACAAAAATATTGTCTAATAATAAAGATGTTGATTGATGAATGGATTAGGTAAAAAAAGCCGCAATAACGGCGTATCTCGATCTAACTAAAGGATGCTGTTCGTTGGACGCGGTTGAGCGTGCAATTTGTCACATGGAAAGTAAAAAGTACTTCAATTGTGCATACGGAGGCTCCTTGGATGCTAATGGAGAGGTCGTGATGGATGCCGCGATAATGACGAATGATCTTCGCGCGGGTTGCGTGGGTGCCGTTCGTAATATAGCACATCCCATAACATTAGGTGTCTACATCTTTCTTACAATTAGTAAAACTTATGCCAAAGAAATCAGATATATTTATCCATGATCTATTCAAATTTCAATGCTTCTCACTCTTGCAGCCAAAATGGTCTTGCAGCAAACGGAACATGTGCTTATAGTCGAAACTGGAGCGCAAAAGTTTAACTTGGAATCGGGCATTCCTACTTTGTCACCTGGCCAGTTGATCGTTACGTCTGATTCGAAGACATCCTTACACGAAGAAGGAAATAACGGTAAAAGATAGAAAACGAACTATTTTAAAGGTACTAATCTCGATACTATAATGAATATAAGAAGCGCTAGATATCAGAAAGATACAAGAGCTTTTAGACGATGGGGACAAACAATCTGATAAAAAAGAATGTATACCGGAATGTGTAATTGAAAGAGATAAGGAGGAAGGTGCTACCCTCGAAGTCACTGGGATAGACGAATTCTTGGAAATTGATCCTGATTTTATACAGGTTGATAAACTAACCGTAATTGTGAATTACGTAAAATATTCAGGCAAAAGTACAATTTTAAAATTTTTTAGATTCTCCAAATTTTTAAGATTTCCTACATTTAGGTATTTTAAATATAAATCCGTATATATAATGTAATAATCCATATATAATGTAAAATTTTATACATTGTAAGAGCTTATAGTTTTACGTTGTTGTTAATCTAATAAGCCTATAATTTGTGAAAGAGAAAAGACTTTATGAATCTCTTTTTCCCTTTCTTTTCTTTCTTTATAAACCTAATATACTTTGCCCTAAATATTTTACGTAATTAAAGTATTTTTATATTATGATCACTGTACAAATATTTTATAAGACTTTTAAAAAAATATTACTTCAGGTTGGCGCGGTTGGAGCGGTGGCGTACGATCGAAAGAAACGTCTCGCTAGCGGAACTTCGACGGCTGGAGAATCAGGAAAGCTGCATGGAATTATAAGTGCGACTGGAACAGCGATCGGTTGCGGTATTTACGTTGATCAATACGGCTCCGTGTCTGTTTCGGGTTGTGATAAAGCTATTTACAAATATGCGCCAGCCCAGAGGATCTTACGACGACTGCGGCGAAAGGCGACGTCGATCGACGAAGCGGTTACCGAGGTGTTAAAGGACTTCGAAGAAGAAACTGGAGGATCATTTCCGCCGGAATATGACGTAGGTGTCATCGCGTTGACTGCCAAAGGAATACCATCAGTATCTTTCAAATGCGCACATTTTCCCTGGGCATATTGCGACAAAGGCTATGTGTATTATGGTTGCGCGAGGAATGAGATTTTTTCAGAAAAAATCGATATCATCGAACGACCGTTAGATTGCATGTGTGAAGATTCAAATTAGGTGAAATGCACGAATTATCAGAGAGTCGTTAGATTTTAATCAGAACTGCAACAAACTCAACTAACGCATCTCTCTGACCAAAATAAATCAATTACATTTTAATATTTATTTGTATTTTTAATGTTTAAAATATAATTTAACTCCTCGGGATTTCTTCTGCCCCTCACTTCCCCTCCTCGGAGAATCTGAGTTTGAACCGGCCTATATACTCTACTAGTATCTAAAAATTTACTTATGTAGAACGTTCGAGCATAATAACAATGCTGAAATAGTTTTGACATTGAACTAGCTTGGGCGTTCAATATATAATTACTTTGATGGTGTAACAAAATTATTTTCAGATCCGTATCCATCTAAATTTTTAGATACTTCAACAAAATCATTCTTTCCATATAAATTGAGAGTTACATAATTTTTTTTTCATTACGCGTGCACGTAATGTGCCCCTATACCGCAACGCTTTTGCGTGCGGTAAATAGCCAATACCTCAAGCCGTTGAGTTATTTCTCTAATCCCACTCTTCTGCGCAAAAACGTTGCTGTATAGGGTACATTACGACGAGCACTTGTAAAGAAAAATTCTATGTGTAACAGTGGGGGCATATTTGTTTATAGGTCGGCATGGGCGTTCGTATGAACTCGCTTCGCTCGTGCGTTCGCGCCCGGCCGCGCTATAAACAAATATGCCCCACTGTTACACAATGTACTATAAATAAAACTCTACTCAACTTACAGGAAAGATAACACCATGATTATCTTCGTAAGGTCCGTATAATAAGAATGTGGGTGCCTGTCCGTTAAATTTTCTTCCGAATATCTTATCCATTTCAAGCAGCATCGTATAAATTTCTTGGCGTCTCAGATCCGTGATATTCTCGTATGCCATTATCTGCCAAGATAAAAAATTCATATTTGCAATAAGAACATCTAATTAGCTAAATCACACGCTAAAGAGGAGACATACCGATCCGAGAGACGTCCAAGCGAGCAAATACGGAACTCTTTTTATAGCTTCCGCCAAGGTCGGGCCTAATACTCTGTACTTAGGCAAACGATTTATACTTTTATTATCAATTCTCTCGTAATAAAATTCACCTGTGATTATAGAAGGCATATATTAAATAGTATAATCAAAAGACATTATAATAATAGAGAAAATTAAAGACAGTTAACTGAAACAATCGACTCACCGGCTTCCGTTTTGTTTTCTATAACCTTTAGATTGACGAAGGCAACGTCGACGATACCTGAAGCCAAGTAATTAAAAGTACTTAGATCGTCACCCGCATGTTCCGCACCTGCAACGAGATCGCATTTTGATGATTATTCATGAACTCGTTTCCTGTATGATCGTATTATTTTATCTTGTATGCATTGTTCTTAGCGAGTCGTGAGAATTTAAACGGTCTATTATATATGTTTACATGTACATATCTTTATGATAGTTAACTTACAAGCGCTTACACGCTTAATTGTGGCTATATATATATATATATATATATGTATATATGTGTGTGTGTGTTTTTTCTATATCTTACCTTCCTTGCATAATGAATGTAAATTAGCCGGAAGCTCGTTGCCATTATTTTTATTGTTCCAACCGAGGACACAGCTATCTTTGAAGAATTTTGAAATAGCCTGCGCGTCCGAGCAGTCCCAATTTCCGTTCGATTCGTTCCTCATTAACGTTACAAAAGCGTTCCAACCTGGGACCAAGAGACCATAACGGCGAAATGGATTAAAAGCAATTCTGGAGTAACTGAAACTGCAAAATACGAAATTATATCCCATTTATATAATCGCACCAACGCTTCTGTAGCCCGTGAAGGCCGCCTTGGCACCTTTAAGATCCTTCAGAACTCTGAATCTGGAATTCCTCTTGACAACTGCGGCGATCCTATTCAATTCTTGTCGGCTGTTCGCCATCGCGTGGATAATAGGCTTCAAACCCATCCTACAAAAGAGACAATTAAGAAATCTCGGAAGAACATTTCAAATTTTTATTTGCCACATTTACGTTGATCCGCTAATCTTTACTTACATTTTGTTTTCAAGAAGCTCTTCGGGCCGCGCTAAGAAAATGTCCGTTTTTCCTTTCCGTATAGCATCCACGCATGCTTCTCTGCTAGTTTCTTGAAGGCAGGAAATCAACGGTTCGACGCCGTAAACGATAGAAGCGTCTCGTAGCCAGCTGCACTTACGTTTTTCGAGATTAGATACCAGACACCAACGTATGTCTCTTGATGGTAGACAACCCGTTCGAACATTAGCGCTCAAGAAGTTTGGATCTTTGAACAGAAAACATCCACGTTATTGAAACAAACGAGATATATTACTTATACATATATATATATATATATCTCATATTATATTTATCAACATTTCTAGTTGCTTTCTTTTTAGGAAATTTTCATAATACATTGGGCGGTATTCATAGTCCATTCTTTTAAGATCGTCTTAAGTTTTAAGATGCTAACGCAGCCCTCTGATTGGCTTATGACATCTTAAGAAGACATTCTTAAATATAAGAATCGACTATGAATATCGGTTATTGATTCTAATTTAAATTAAAGTTTATTCCACCAAATTTATTTATTTCATCAAATCTTAGGTAACAATTAAATTAATAATTAATATTTAAATTGTTAACAAATTTTAAATAAATAGAAATTAATAAATTGCATGTTTATATGTGTGGTTCAATTAAGAAGCTGCTCAAAAATTATATTGTTATAAAAAGATACGTTATTAGAGAAAAGTTTGTGAAATTGACAATATATGATAGTTGTTCAGTGATTAATAAATAACAGATTATATGTTTTAATAAATTACTTGTTACAAGAAGTCAATAAGTTAAATAGTCATGTTATATATACATTACATCTATGTAAGTAATCGTCGGGCGTTTGCAAGTCTTTCACGTCAGTAGAGGTAATATAATAGCTCTCTATTAGCTGCAAGACGTTTGATTGCCAACTGAACGTCCTGTTCATCATCGAATTCATCATATGGGCGATATTCTCGGCATTCGATCTGATGGAAAGGAAAACTTTTTAAATGTTTCAAACCTACATATAATTCAAATGTGAAAAGAAATGAAAATGTTACGAAATTACTTCGCAAAGGAGCGACGTAAAGCTCTCTAAATTCTTTGGAGTGTGAATTTCATTTCAATAGAGTGAAATCTCACTCCAAAATATTTAGAGAGAACACTTACGGTCTAGCTACAACGACCGGCCATGGTTTAGATATCCAGATGCAGGGTTTCTCAAAATTTAATGGTCTCGTGGTGCCGTCCGGGCATAGAAACTTGTAATCTTGCACATTGATCATTTGTGCCTGTATCAAGTTAGATGTTAATACCATGAGTTACACTGCACAATCCGTTTGAATTATAATTTTAGAACAACTTAGAGCGAGATTAGTTCTTTGTGAGTTAAGGATATTGCAATCGAATTGTCTGGTAAGCTGACTTGATAATTATGTACGTACCTTGAAGTGTACGCGAGCGTCTCCCAATCTGACCCAGGCAACGTCGCCCATCCCATCGGTGAGGCACAACAAGGCACCCTCTCGTCCATAATATTTATCGGTGTTGTAACAGCTAGCTGGTTTCTCACAAGCGGCGCAAAGATTCCTATATTTTGATTCTGCAAATGATAATAATTCTGACACTTATTCGTACATGAAGAAATGTAAACTATCATGCATATTACATTATAGATATGTTGTATAAATTGCGATTATATAAATAAATCTGGACATGCACACGCATTTAAAATGGAATGTTTGTATTCGCATATGTTTGTAATTAAATACATACTCAATTGATAATCAAATATTGTGTCTGCCGACCAAGGGCCAGCGATGCAAGCCATTTCGAAATAGTTGGACAGAGCATGCACTCTGTTCTCGAACAGCGTCATGTTTGCGTCGCATTCTTTATTGATTATCAGGTTCTCAAAGTACTGAAATATGAAAGATTGACAGATAAACACGATTCTAATGTGCACACACTTATACAAAAAAGAGATTACCAACCATCGAGAAAATTTTAGTCCAATCGTCAATTGTATCTAAACCGGGATGACACAATCGCTTGCCCTTGACATCCCATATGCGTTGCACATTTTTGTGCGCTATGGCTACTATCTCAAAACGATGATCATCTAAGAAAATAATGTCTTGTTTGAGATAATTGTAATTTTAATATGGTTGATTTTTTTTACGCTAAATTGGTCCCGATTAATTTTAATTGAAAAAATCGAAATTATTTGTTTCAAGTAATTGAATTATGAATTACTACTAAGGAAATAATTGTGATTTGAGAAATCAATAAATTTCTTAATTAATTCTAATTTGAGTTCGTCAAAAAATCAATGATTGAAATTTAAATCGACAAAGTTGAGACACTTTTTTTATGTGCTCGTCGTAATTCTTTATCTTAATAATTACCATCTGGGAAGAGTCTTAATTCATTCGTGACTAGTACACTGTATAATTTGTAGTTTCTTATCGCTACAAGTTCTTCTGGCTCCAACACAGTGATGTCGACATCACCATTGGCTACTCGACGTAAACAGCCGAATCTATAAAGAATTACACACTTTCATATGACAAATATATATTTAATATTTTCTAATGCACTCGTATATGGAAAATTGATTGAGTCGTAAGTTTTGCGATCAAATCGGTCGTTCTGAAAAACTCATATCTACAGATTTTTTAATAATAGAAAACTATTTTCCAAATGACTCATATATATTGTATAAAAAACACGTATTATTATTATTATTATTATATCATATATATACTATATATTATTACAAAATGTAATCTTTTAATTTGTTTAGAACAAAGAAATAAAAGAATTTCTAAGAATTAAAAATTGAAAAAACTTTATAGAAAATTTCTTCGAATCATTATGCCTTATACTTGCCTATCAGTTTCTATGACACATTCTATCGGACTCTTAGCTAATTTCGGGCAGAGTGAAAGAATTCTTTGCGTAGTATGTATACTATCGACTATACATAGTGACCCTAAAACATTAATTTCATGTACTTTTTGAAATAGAAAAAATTTTTTGAAATAGATATATGCGAAATATTATAGAGCATACGTATTTTATATTAATTATTTTCTTTTTTGCGCGTTTAAAAACAAATTTGTTAACATTTATGAACCGAAACAATTTATTGTTACCGTACATACTGTTAATTATAACGAAAAGATTGGATAGAAATATAAATTTATTAATACAAAAGAATCAAATTTTTTAAATTTTTCAATAAAAATATTTTAGATGCTTGCCTGGCAAGAAGCACGCAAAAATAGCAAAACAATTAATCACAAAACACATGCAAGGTACACATATGTGAATGCAATCTTGCAATTTCCTTTTACGATGAAACGAGCGAGGAAACGAACAATGAAACATGTACGTTGCATTAGTGAGTATACAGTTTAGTAGTTTAACCGAGAAATGAAGAATTATTTCTTCTTCCATAATAAAACATTTTTTATCAATAATATTTATTTGTTGTTTACAGATTAATTTATTTCGATAATATTAAAAAAAAGATTCCGCCGCCCTCACTCTGATAACAATATCAGAATACTAGTTTCGTAATTTTCGTCTTATTACTTACACTTGTTAGCAGCATTGACGTATTCGTAACTATTTACGAAAGTTGTGACAAGCGAAAAAATGGACCAATAAGCGATACGAAGAACCATGATCGATCTTCGCTCTGCTACTACCATTTTTTTTTTTTTTTTTAACAAAATCTTCTATTTAATAGAACTTCCCAAAAAGAGATTTTCCTCCAATTAACACCATCGCACTCTCACGATTTATTTGATGTGGCCACTGTTATCAAAGAACAGTCGTACAGTAATATGATATAGTTATCACTGAGTCATATTTTGCTGGACCAACTCGCGCGGAGCTGCTTGTACTCTAAACATTATATATAATAACAATAAATTATTATCCGCTTAATTTAAGTAGTCTTACGTATCCAAAAGTTTTCGCATTATTTTCAAAGAATATGGAGATATATTTCAATATGTTAATAAAATATATCTGAGAAGGATGTACGGAATAATAACACATTCGATATCTAGATACACTTTCCACATGATATCTAATCGCCAACACAAATAACAGGTTTCAAATAATTATCTTTCTTAAGGACAGTAGATATGATCACGACATGTATATGTAAAATAAAGTATTCAGCACGCAAAGGATGTATTTTCCTTGTTGCCCAAACAGAATAATAAATCATGATAACATTAAAATGACATGATGAATCGGAAATGATCGAGAAATGACTTTTAATGGTCGTCTTGTAATCATTTTGACAGCGTTTTGATATCATAAAGACTTATTTTTCTGCTTGAGTGCAGTATAAAAAACCGTATTAACTTGAGATTATATTGTTATCCAAAAAGAATCTATTTTTCAATGACCTACGGATAAGTTTTGCGAAACGAAGAAGATGGACAATGCGTTCTTGTGCGTCGGAGCACGCGTTTCTGCTGAAACGTCGTCGATGCCAAAATGTAGTAGATGCTTAGGTGGAACCGTACACTTTCGCTTTCCGTCCTTGAGACTTTTTGCCGACGCAAGGAATGCCGTTTTGTAGAACCGTCCAGACCGCTTTTATCACTGAATCCACATATAATCTTTAACCGATTATAATTAAAAGTTAAAGTTAGCTTTCGCTCCAATAATGAAATTATATTCACTGTCACTAAACATTAACAATAAGCTTTAAGATATATTTTCCTCGGTAAATTCTCAAGTACCCGCGTCGATTTCCTAAATCACTTCGAAAATCTTCAGATTTAAATGCTTGAATCCACTAAGGGCTGCCCGCTTCCTCTGTTACTCCAATCTTGAAAGATGCTGACTGCCGTTCGATCTTTCAACTCTCCCATCGCGTGCTTTTCTTTCTCGCTGTTCTAGCCCATCTGCGGTAAGCAGACGAACGCGAGAGACGCGTGTTCTGCCGAGAATATGCCCGTGAGAAGATCACGAGAACTCGCGGTTGAAAATATCATCTGACACGCAATCGCGCGAGTATAAAATAACCACACTGAGAACATGAAAGCCCACGAATCCCGAACGATCGGCTGAAGCTTCCGACTGCTTCTGAATGTCCAGCGGCATGTATCACGCGTAGCTGATGATACCCGGCGCTGATCCGACAGGAAAGTCCAAGTATGCGGGGAGCTGGAATGATTAAATGTGGTGGGAGAGGAAGACAGAGAAAGAGAGAGAAAGAGAGGAAAGAGATCAAGACAATAACGAGGAACTTCTGCGTAATATATACGCGCGATGCTGCGAAAGTGACGGCGCATATCATGCTGAAAAGGAAGGAAAGAGAGAAACTTACAATAAGATGGAATTACTTGCGGTTTTAACGGAGGAAATATTCCGAGGAGCTTCTATGGAATGAGAAATGTTGCTGAAGAAATGTTATCCAAGTCGCGTTAAAGTTATATCTTCGAATAATTATGTGGACGTTTGTCCTCTACTTTATGGAACCAGCCTCTTTCTTAGAACTTTTAGTTTTTTTTTAAATATCTGTTCTTCTCTTTTAGATAATTTTCTTTCAATTAGTGACCAGAACGACTTTAGAGTATGAGGCACATTTCTTGTTATCGCATTGTTAAAGAAGATATGGAAATTTATGAGTATTATGGTAAAATGATTTATCATTATACATGATTAACTACGAGTGCTCGCTAATGTCGATGTATATCTCAATGATAAAAAGAAAGATAGCGACAAAGAAGTTTTCATAGAAGAAAAAGTTTCGCTTCCTGCTGATCATGATTCGTTTAATCGATAGAAACGTATAATTTATTCACTTTATCTTCTCTCGCGTATCTTTTTAATTGGATAATTTACTTCAATATATTTGATCAGAATGTGCGTTCTTTCACGTACACGTGCAAGTGAGTCATACTCATTAGCAAAACCGCAATTGCAGTTTTTATTGCTCTTATGTGTTCTTTTTCTTTGTATTAATGCAATAATTATTATTGATGTAAATTAATCACAAATATTATTGTATATTGATAGACGTTGCTATGTCCAATAAAGAACTGATTATCTGGATTGGTAGAATGTTTTCTATGCACATTTTGAGTGAGATACAGAAAGCATAGCTAATCCGTAATTACTGATTCAAAAAATGATTCAAATAAATGTAGTATATACAAGAGTCAACTAAATTTAAACTTCATCTTTATTATAATTCTATATTTTCTATAAATATTATACTTTCATTATATGTATTTTATAATCACTGTACCATTATATAAGTCATGAATAAAATATTGCCAAAGTTATACTAATGCATTGAAAGAGAAAATTATCGTCGTTACAGCAAATTAAATAGTAAAATATGGCATTTTAATTGACTGCAGCAGCCAATTTCTTTCTTTTAATTTGCATAAATAAACTATTTACTTGTAAATTGTTAATTTACTATATACAGGGTGAGGCATTTAAAACAGGTCATCTGAATAACTCGCTTGTTTTTAATAATAGAAGGAAAAGTATCAAATGGAAGTTGTTTTGTTTTGAGGGGCACGTAATGTCATGTCAATAATTGTTTTGTAGATGGAGGCGTAAAAGTATCAGAATGTAAATAAAAAAACATATCACTCTATTAAAAAAAACAGATTTGACATTTACCTATTCTTTACGCCTATTATCCACATCACATTATGTACTCCTCAAAACTAAGCAACTTTTGTTTGATACTTTTCCTTTTATTGTTAAGCGAGTTATTCAGGTAACCTGTTTTAAATGCCTCACCCTATATATAAGGTTAAAAATTTTAAAAATTCATGACCTTACAAGTGCATTGAAATTATAATTTTTGATTACAAAAAATGTCTTTCCAACGTACGGTGCTGCGTGTCGTTGCTGATAGTTTCAGTTATGTTTGTTCTCAACGTATTCAGTTATGTTTGTTCTAAAACGTATTCAAGATATATTATAAACAATTTTGTGGTATTTTATACGCATATTATTAATTCAAAAAATTAAATAAGTAATAAACATTAAATTAGCCTTAATCTAAATACAAATCATGAAAATTAATTACACGCAACTGTATATAAAGGCGCATTATTTCTTTTTTTTTGCAAGTAAGTAATCATTAATTGCATACGATAATATGTCTCTGTATACACATGCCATAAAAAGAGCTCAAACTTAATTAAAGCAAAATTTAAAACATGAAAATTTTTTTGCATTTACCTTTACGTTTATTAATATACATTTATTAAATTGAACTTGTGATATAACTTGTGATAATAATTTTTATAATATGTATCACGATATAATAAGTAAACTTTAATAACGAAATATATGTTATGACAGTCTATAAAAATATTAAAGACAAATTAATCATAATAATGTAATAGAATATATTGTGTTAGATATTTAATAACAAATTTTTGTTATTTTAGGTTGTGGTATTACTTATCCGTATATTCCAGTTTACGGAAGGCAATTAGGTATTTCACCGTTAGTATTGGGTATCATTTGCACAATTTTTCCTATACTACATCTGATAGCAAAACCAGCGTTTAGCTTTTTAGTAGACTATTTTGGAAATTGGAGAAAACTAATTTTTATGGTGTTCGTCATAGCAACAGGTGGCTCTTATATTATAATATTTTTTTTACCATTACCGAGTCCTATGTTACTGGATCAACATTTGAAAAATATTTCGTGTACATCTCTATCATATTGCGATATGGAATATGTAAGTTTTCATTTCTTCACAGTTCTAAAATTTTTCGAGATAATTTGTTAATAGTGAAACTATAATATTGCTTAAAAATATTAATTTATATTAATTTAATAATAATTATTAATCATAGAATTCAAAAGATTAAATCAAATATAATATGTATCAAATATATAATAATATGCCTACATGAGTCAGTACAGATAATATAAGTGTGTGTATTTAATTTTATTTATTTAAAAAAAGATATGTATACGTTTCGACTCTAGTTTCGATTTAAAAGTTTCTCAGACGTATAATTAAAAATATTTTTTATTAATATATATATTAGTAATATCTGTATACTATAAAATTTTGTTAAATATTTTAAAAGTGTATAAAACAGTTCTTAATAAGATTTAATTATTAGTACTTGTTAATAGAAACAAGTTTAGTTTTATCTTTAATTTGTTATTTGTTTTTGTTTAAGCATGCATCAGAAATTGCATCGTGTAACGGTACAATAGACACTACATGTCATTGGATATGTAAAGACACAAATTTTTCCATGCGATTATCTTTTTATACAAATCAAAACAAAGTAATTGTCTCGCCAAATTTTACATGTTTATTAAACATTAATGAGACGTTATTGTGTCAGAAAATTGTAACAAATAATTATAATTGCAATATTGTTTGTGATAATTTTGAAAACCAATGTATATTCACATCTATTACTTTTTGGATATTTATCCTTTTGTGGTGTCTTGGCGATTTTAGTTATTTTACTTCCCTCGTTATAAGTGATACTATTTGTTTTAGTATATTAGGTATGTAATTTTATAAGTATAAATTTTTTATAATTAATTGCCAAAATATTATATCACTTAACCACACTGATTGAACTTTCGTAATACAAAACTTTAAAGTTTTATGTAATAAATCATATAGAGGAAAAATATTATTTTTAAATTATAGTTTATTTTTTTTTAGGACAAGGGAAACAATCGAATTACGGTAAGCAGCGATTATGGGCTACAATTGGTTATGGTATTGCTGCATGTTTGTCTGGATATATGATAGACTTATGGTCGCACAAGGGAATTTATAAAACTTATACACCAATACTGGTTCCTGTAGCCATATTTATTTGTATTGATTTGATATGCTGTATAAAATTGAAGGTAATTGTTGTATGCACTTTGAAATAAAAAAAAACAAACCAGATCATTATACAATGATTGCGTTTAGGGGAAAAAACAGCTTTAAAACTGTAAAATTCTTGAATATGATCGAGTTTTTATTTAAGTGAGGAACTGAGAGTAAGACCAATTATAAAGAATACACAGTTGCAAAGCTGCTTTTCCTGCTGAACGTAGCCAATATAACACATAGTTTTGTCATTATATCTTCATATTTTTTATTATAAATCATTGTTACAGATGTCATTTAAATCAGGATCTACAACTATAATAAAGGATGTGACTATGCTTTTGAAATCAAAATCCGTCATTATATTTTTGTGTTTCGTTATATTCTCGGGGATGCTTAATAGCATTAAGCGTACCTTTTTGTTATGGTAGACTTGCATCTCTATGGCAACATTAAATTTTTGCTTATTTGCTATTTCAGAAAGTGTAGAATCAAATATAATTAATTATATTTAATGTAAAGTAATTTTATAGGTATGTAGAAGATCTTGCTGTTACAACCAATTATATGAGCAACATTAAATTGATAGAAGGTTTAATTACAATGACCGAAACGTTCGGTGGTGAAGTAATATCTTTTTTCTTTTCTGGTAATGTTATCTTTTATTACACTTTGCACTTAAACAATAACGTAGTTAAACACATTTTTTAATAAAAAATTAATATATTGAGTTCTTTTTCTTCAGGTAAAATAATAGATAAGCTAGGATATACCTATACTTTGATATCGTGCTTTGTATGCTACGCGTTTCGGCTAGGATTAATATCTTTATCTACAATACCATGGTGGATACTTCCAATAGAATTACTTTTACATGGGCCATCGTATGCTATCTGCTTAACAACAATAACAGCGTACGCGAACTCAGTAGCACCTCCAGGTAGTTCAGCTACTGTTCAAGGACTTATTCAAGGCATGCACGACAATTTTGGTAAGATTATACAATTATATGTATACTTATTAATATCTAATAATTTATTTTGTCATAAAAAGACTGTACATAATAAATATTAATAATATATGTATATAAATATTTTTGTAATTTATTAGTCATTAATGTTATTATGGTTTGTTATTGATTTTGATATTTCTAGGGTTCTTGATTGGTAATTTGGTAGTAGGTGTTTCATATGAAAAATTTGGTGGTACAATAACTATGAGAATATTTTCAGTATTCGCAGCGTTATCTGCAATAGTATATTTTCTTTTTCACGTTCTCTATTTAAAGCATAAAACATCAGGTAAAAATGTCAAGTAATTTTAGTCGTATTATGAGAAACTTTTTCAGAATATATTCGAAGCGTAACAGATTTTTCTTTTATTGTAGATTTGCGCAACAACATTGAATGGAGAAAACCGGATGATGCACAGAAACACTGTGTAATAGCAGGAACGTAATATATTTTTCATACATTTTTTTATTAAAGAAAATGAATATTTAAAACGTGTTATATTTGTTTTATATTTGTGTTTTAACAATTGAAAAAAGGACTTTATTTTTAAATATAATAGCAGCATAAAATAAAAAAGTATCATGTCCGAGAGACTGGATCCGTGTATTCTTATGTATTATATTTTGAATTGAGGCACTCGCGGTTGATTTTCTCGCGTTAACATATATTGTTTAGAGAAATGAGTTTTGTTAAAACATCAATTTGTGATTTAAAACAAGTGATTAAAAAAAATATATATGTATATATAATATAGAATAGCTCAAGTAATACAAATTAAATAAAAGTATGTTGAGAAGGGTTACAAACCAAAGTATTATTTTGATATTTAATACAATAGATTTATTGTTCGTAAATAAAGGTTAAAATGAAAATATAAACATAATTAATAAACAGACGTTTCAACTTCGATAGCGTGGACGCGGGTCATTATCAATGTTAAATATATAACAAAATTTAGACGGTTGAACAGTAAATAATAATTAAGATTACAGACATAAATTAAAGAGTCGCTCCTAAAATTCTTTTTTCTATTATATGTCGCTGTGTAAAGATCTTTCATATCATTCGCAATGGTAAATTATAAATCCGTTAATGTACAGAAAATGTAATTAAAGCGAATTGGTGAAGTATAATTTGTATAGATACAAATACTTTTAGTTGTGTGTCATATGTATAAAAGTATAGTCAGAATATAAAATTAGTCAATATATAAAATGATGCATAAAGATTAAAGAAAATTGCGATTAATCTTTCAATTGTGCCTAAAGTGCATGTAGGCAGTCGAACTGCGTAGGTAATAATTCATGTATAAGCAATCAATTTGTAAGCAAATGGAGTTCTCCCGATTCTTATTAGCTCTATTTCTCATTTTTTAAATTTCTAAACTCAAAACACCTTATTTGTTAAACTAGTTAAAAAAGTTAAACTAGTTGTTCGCCGATTCCTTATCACCATCTACAATTGAAAGAGCATTGATAAATAATAATTGATTACACATGCAGTGCACGCACATTGGTAAATCATTATTTATACAACGGAGCTCCAGCATTTCTATTTTCTATTAATTATTTTCTTTATCTTATTTGCTCAACGAGATAATGCAGAAGAGTAAGCATTTTACTCGCTAGTAAGAGATGACTTGAATAGACTCACGATCGTGTAAGTAATCTGTTAATCTGCGTATTTATTAACTTATTTTATTACTTTGTTTACATTATACAACTATATGTATAACAAATTTTATTTAAAAATTAAATACACATTGTTATTATAAAACGTACATACATCTCTCTCTACTACGAATTTAATTAGCTTTACAAATGAGTTGTTTATACAAATAAAGAAAAATATTGTATTCACTATAATTAACATATGATGTATTATGTTAATATGTATTAACATATATTAACATATTGTATCATAATTATTTGGAATTTGTAATGTGTACATAAGTTTTTAAAAACTCATTTATAGTTTTTGCAGAGTACTATACATTACAGTCGCAACGAATGCTTGCGATTATATGTGAATACATTTACTTATATCTAGTCTGTATTTTTGTATATTCCGTTAAACTCATAAAGTATGGAAGTGTGAATATATTTTTTTGTTTTATATAGTCGAATGAACATAATGTATTACATAGTGTGTTTGTAAAAATTCTGTGTAAAATTGTTACAGAGTAATAAATTGCAAAGTAATAAATTATATTTGTTTTTACAAATCATGCAAATAAATTATACGCAATTGCTTATAAAGATGCACTACTTCTTTTTTCTAGGAAGTAAGTAAACATTTTATTTAATATATTTATACACATACACACGCACACGCATGCATGTACGCACACAAAGAATATCCTATTTTTAAACAGTCAATTCCCAGTAAGCTATAAATATTAGAACAACATTTTGAAACATTAATTTTATATGAATTGTATCTACGTTTTTATTTAATATTTTATAAGTGCGATTTTAAGATATTAGCTAATAATATATGTATTATAATATTTCCGAACATGTAAGAAAAGTTTTAATAATATAAATTCTGAATATTTTATAACTATAGAATGTTGAAAGAATGTTGTTGAGACATTGCAGTATTAAATGTTGATGCATAAATGTTTTCTTAAATTAAATTTCTGTTGATTTTTTAATATTGATTATTATTAATATTACTCCAGCGTTAAAATAATATTAAACAAGTTATTATTAAAATTACTTACCCGGGAGTAGTACGCGATAATTTGTAGTTGGACGTAATGAAGTAATTTTTTCGAAAATTATTCGAAAACTATTAAAACATAAAAAATTTTTTTTAACTAAAAAAATTTGTTTTCCAAAAATGTTATTGGTAATAAGAGATTTATTTCTGAAATAATGTACATAAAAAGAATAATAGCATAAATTGAATAAACAAAGTGACACTTTTTTTCGGATACATTATACCTTCCTGCAATCCTATTATTAACCACTTCTTAATGTTCTTCTGTCTTTTTTTCTTCACATTTTTATTATTGTTTTATTTTAGCATTAAACATCTAGCTGTTATTTTCTTTTCCTTCTTATTTTTTCACCATTTTTTCTTTTTAGCTCATTTTGTTAAATTATTAACGACAAAGTAATCGACAACTATTTTGAATATTCAATTGCAAAGTAGTTATATAAGAAAAATTTTTTTATAAATTGAATAACTATTTGTACATCACAATGTAAAAATTATGTCGACTTCTGTCTGAGGTATTGTTTATTTTTAATTTTTTAAAAATTTGTTCTTATTAAATTTATGTACGGTTTGTAACTAAACAATTATTTTTGATTGAGATACGTTACACTATTAAACTTCAGTTTTCCGAGTTATGGTAAATATAAGTTTGTCTTGTTTGTTTACTTTTTAAGTTCTAGTGACAAAATGGCAACAGTCTGCACATCTCACGATACTGTTATGGTATAATTGGTCTTCACGGTTTTGAAGACTATTTATACTATAGCCTAGCGTTTTGACGTTTTTATGTAAACATAATTACAATGATGAATTAGTAAGAAGTTTTAGTACTGTTTTAAATTTACATTTTTACTGACGTTTGAATATATTTAATTATCTTTTGACTTTAATATTATATATGGTTTACAATATAATTATCATTTTATTTAATATTAATAATGACCTGATGTTGGCATTTGTCATTATGTATGAGTTTGATTAATTGTTTATCTTAGACTCGCCATTTACTTTGTTTTGAAAAACAAATAATTTAGTATTATATGTGCAACATCAAAACATCTATATCACAAATAATGCTTCAGCTATAAAAACACATACTTATTACATACAATGAAAAGATATATATATATTAAAAATAAATTTTTATTTATTAAATATTACATTATTAAATTAATAGATTTAACAAATACTAGAATCTTTTTACGACCGTACAATTGATTTTTGGGGGGGACTACATACGCAGTATATAAAATTCACACAATTATAATAAGCACTGTGATCCAGCTTTGACCGTTATTGGTTACTCATTATATATCAATGAGAGACAAAGCATTAATTACAATTGTTTTTCTTATTTTAGGTGCAGGCCCTGTTTTCCCATTTCTACAAGTCTACGGAAAACAACTTGGTATTTCACCATTAATTATTGGTAGCATCAACGCAATTTTGCCAATATTAACTTTAATAGCAAAACCAATATTTGGTTTCATCATGGACTATTTTCAAACATGGAGGAAAGTGATTTTTCTATCATTGCTTGTTATTGCAAATAGCTGTTATGCTATAATACTTTTTTTACCACCATTGCCGGGTCCAATTTTATCTGAAAATCACTTTCAAAATGTATCTTGTGAAACTTTACCACATTGCAATATGAAATATGTAAGTTTTTATTTATATTCCTTAATTTTTCGATAAGTTTAATAAAAATTAATATAAAATATTAAATCTTATTTTACGGCGACGAAAAACAATATTTACGTTGCCTGAAATAACGTTGTTCCTATTACATATGACAATTATTGCGAAGAATATTATATTAAAGTCTCAGTAGTCTAAAAATTAGGAACCGCGCTCGCACGGAAAATGCAAGAGATTCGGGTTCAATTTCCGGCTAATATAAAAATTAATTTACAGATTTTAATGTTTTTGACATTAAGATCATTCTAAGATGTATAAAGACTAAAGAGCGTCAAATTTTTTAATTACTAGTTAATTTAATAATTGTGATATTACTGTGGTAGTTTATAATTTGAAACGGCCATTATGAACAGTTATTTAAAATATGGCCGTTCATATATTACGTACATAACTGGAGGAAGGGGGTCGTACATTATTATTTCCTTATGTAAGATTTTTGTCTGTTGCTGATAAAAAACGACGAGCAATATTTACCAAAAGCTTTTAAAATTTACTGCTGACGTAATGGCCGTAAAATAGATAATGATAATGATTAGTATGCTTCAAGTATGAACAGAAGTTGACAAAACTTAGTGGACTAATGGCCGCATTCAAATTACAAATACTGAAAAACTGTTTCGGTACTTAGCTTAAAGAACTACATACATAGTATACAAATTTACACGGAATTATAAAAGCACATAAGATCCGGTTAGACAGAGACATTATATTTTCTATTAATAAAAATGTTATGATATTATAACTAATAAAGAATTATTTGAACTTTATTTTAAGTGTTATTTTCATATTATTTTTTATAATCCACAAACTTCTAAGTATTAAAATTTATATTATAAAACATATGTGTATTATATTATATATATAATTTAAAATATATTGTAAATATGTATAACTTTAAAATTTTTCTTAAAAGTTCTAAAATACAAAACCAATTATATCTTTATAATTATTAATGTTTTACAATAAAAAATGTGTTTATTTATAATTGGTTTTTTACTAAAGCATGCATCAGCAATTGCATCGTGTAACGGTATGAAAGACACTACATGTCATTGGATATGTGAAAATACGAATTTTTCTATGCAATTGTCTTTTCATGGAAACCAAAACAAAGCAATTATTTCACCAGATACTACATGCTTATTAAATATAAATGAGATATCATTGTGTCAAGGAAATTTAACGAACAATTATAATTGTAACGTTACTTGTGACAATTTCAAATATGAACAATGTCTGTATACATCTATAATTTTTTGGAGTTTTGTTCTTTTAATGTGCATTGGCGAAATTGGTTTTTTTGTTTTCATCAGTATAAGCGATGCGTTTTGCTTTGTCATATTAGGTATGTGATTTTTATAAACATAAATTTTAAAACTACATTGTAATTCTTAAAATTTACCATATAAATTAAACTTTTGCAATAATATTTTTTTATGTAATAATATTACATAAAGAATATTATTTTTAGTAGTGTTTGCTTTCTTAGGGCAAGATAAACGGTTGAAATATGGTAAGCAGCGATTATGGGGTGCAATGGGTTACGGTGTTGTTGCATGTTTATCTGGATATATGGTAGACTTATGGTCATACGACAAAGTCTACAAAAATTATATACCGTCAATGCTTCTTATGCTGGTATTTACTTGCATCGATTTAATTTGCTGTATAAAACTGGAGGTGATTTTATGTATTGTTTAAAATAAAATATCAATTAATAGTTTTATTTTTATATCTTTATATCACATCATAGATTTTTATTGCAGCTACCATTTCAATCAGAATCGACAACTATATTAAAGGATGTGTTTACACTTTTGAAATCAAAATCAATCGTTATATTTTTGTGTTTTTCTGCATTTATCGGCATCCTTAATAGTATCATGCGTAATTTTTTGTTGTGGTAAACTTTTATCTTGATCGGCGATATTAGATTTTTGCTTGTATACAGTGTAGTTTAATTTTACAGGTATGTAGAAGATCTCTCTATTATGACTGGTTATATGGACAGAATTAAATCTATAGAAGGTTTGATTGTAGCGGCACAGAGTTTCAGTGGTGAAGTAATATTCTTCTTTTTATCTGGTAACATATATTAAATATTTTTATATTATAATTACATAAATACATGATGCTTATAACTAAAATTGTTTTTCTCTAATAAATGTAATATTAAAATCATCTTATTTTTTAGGCAAAATATTAAAGAAGCTCGGCTACGGTTATACTTTTACATTATGTTTCATATGTTACGCACTTCGGTTGGGCTTAATATCTGTAGCGCCAACGCTGTGGTGGGTTCTTCTTATAGAATTTTTCATGCAGGGACCATCGTATGCACTCAGTTTTACAACAGTAGTAGCGTACGGGAACGTAATAACACCCACTGGTGCCTCAGGTACCGTTCAAGGACTGGTTCAAGGCATGATTGATGGTTTAGGTAAGATTCTTTACACAGTATTATACATATTTATATTTATCAAGTTTTATTTTATCTACAAAAATATAAATAATTTGTAAAAATAATATCTATATGTATACATATTATACATGTTATTATATATGTTTTGTCATCAATTATAATTAATATATATTGTTGTTATGAAATGTTACTAGGATTCTCGGTTGGTAGTTTGGTAGGTGGTATCTTATTTAAAAAATTTGGCGGTACAATGACGATAAGAATATTTTCAGTATTTGCGGCATTTTCTGCATTAACATATTTTATACTTTACATTTTATATTTGAAGCGTAAAACAGGTAAGGAATTAAATAATTTAATACTTTGATATATAACGTATTTCTTTAACATATATGTAAGAAGATAAAAGATTGTCTTTACAGTAGATACACGAAATAATATTAAATGGAGGGAACTTGACAATGCACGGAAACATTGTACTGTAGCAGATACTTGATACAAATTTTTTTAAGTTTTCTTATAAAGTATAATAAAAAGAAAAAATATTGTTAAACAATTTTGTCTTATATATAAGAAGAATGAAAAAATGTTTTGAGTATTATATAATAACACATTAAAAAAAATATAATAACATTGAATTTATTCATAGATTTTCTATTATCAACTTTTAATGACAGCTTTTTAAACAATTATATGTCATTTTTATTAAAATATTTTTAATATTTTAGTGTTTAATTATTATAGTTTAATATTTTTATTAAATAATAACATAAATATTAAAATATATACAATTGTTTAGATTTACGTTCTAAATAAATATTAACTAACATATATTGTAAATAATTTATTACAAGTTTACAAGTGTAATAATTGATAATTATAGTAAATTAAATTGCTAGCTATCTTACTTATATTATCACGATAATTAATGTTTTATATGTATAAAATATGGAATTATATGGTATGAAAAAAGAATAAATTATATATGTCACTTAATTAATAAAAATTTCATCACTTTAGAGTATAAATAGTTATTCTTTTCTTAGCGATGATATCGCTTTAATCTGCAAATCATCATTATATATCAGTATATTCGCGATTTTATCAAGTTTTATTTAGGTGTGATAATCCTCAACTAAAGATTAACGCCTAAAAAAATCCTCAATATATAATAAAAATGACTTTATTTTATAAAATTAATTAACTCAGTTTTATTTCTTAAATACGTATTATTGATCTGTATCGTATTTTAAAATATACGTGACAAAATTTTAATTAAAAAAGAAAGTTTTCTCTCTCATTTGTAAATTAATTGTTTTTATTTTTCTAAGCGGTTCCACTTATTTAAATCTTGTACGTCATCCAATGGTGCTGAACTTCTGCAATCACGGAAACTGCTACTTCCATAATCCATGCATGAACCGAACCATGAAATTAAACAATTCCCAGTATATAACGCATTGTTATAGAAATTACAGCTGCATATTCGTTCTATTTTTAATACATCAATATGATTTTGACAAGTATTGATTTTGACTTGTCAGTATTTAAACTTGCTTCTAAAAATATATATATATTTATTTTGTCAATGTTGAAAAGAAAATATTTTTAAAACATTGATGCTTCCATTGATGCTTTTTGTATGTAGAACCTATACTATATATAACAAATTGCTAAATACTTTCTATTATCGCCTTTCAAAGTAATATTTATCACCTACGTAAGATACTCTCTTTACCTTAAAACACTGTAATTAAAAATAATATACTATTGCGTAATACAAAACAGTCAAACATTTTTTTAATGCTTTAATACTTTAAACAATTTCATTTCTACATTTGACTTACAACTCAAAGAGCATACGTTAACTTAGTGCATATTTACAAGAGGACAAATACAAAAGTTAAACTTATATATATATATATATAT